CACTTTCACACTAAAGGACTTGAGGAGAAATAAGTACATGAGTGAAGAAGGTATTGACATAGCTAGTGTTATAAATGACTTAAGAAGATGTGTTGTCGTTATTGACGGAGCACGTATGACATATCTAGTGAAAGATTATGATGGAATACGAGACACAACAACACTTGTGTCAGTAGATAGCAAGGAATTCAATAAGCTCATGAAGAGTGTTTATGTAGGACGTATTGAAGAGAAGGATGTGAACGCACTGATGATTTATGAAGCGGGTCAGAACAAGAACTATCTTATGAAGTCAGGCATGAGATTCTTTGACGAAAGAGATGACATTTACAGCTATTTCAGAGGATATGAGTATGAGGTACTGAATGAAGTAGATGAAAGCATTATTGAAGGATATTTGAAACATGTTCACGATGTCATATGTAATGAGGATGAAGAGCTTTATGAGTATGTTTTGAACTGGTTCGCCTACATCGTTCAAAATCCTTGTGGAAAGACTGGAACAGTACTTTTGTTAATAGGAAAGCAAGGAACTGGTAAGAATGTACTTAGTAATGTTCTATGCGAGCTCATTAGCAAGTACGCCAACAATAATATAACGGCAATAGAGAATGTGGTTGGTAGATTCAATGCTGCTATTGAGAACATGAAGCTCATCGTATGCAATGAACTAAGCTCATGCGATACGTCTAAGGTCATGAACCACGACGCACTAAAGTCAATAGTAACAGAGACTCAGTTGGACTTAAATCAGAAGTGTCAGCCAGTAAGAAAGATAGAGAATGTTTGTAATATCATCATGATATCTAACAACTTCAACTCAGTAAAGATTGACAAAGACGACAGAAGATTTGTTGTCATTGACGTAAGCAGCAGATACAAAGGAAATTACGAATATTTCTCAAATCTCATTGAAAGCTTTAATGAAGAGTTTTATTCAAACTTACTGACGTACTTCATGAAGAAAGATTTAAGTGAATTTGATGTAAGGAAGATACCATTCACCAGGGCTAAACAAGAACTCATCGAAATGAACAAAACACCTTACCAAATGTTTTACGAGGAGTTCTATGAAAAGTTTGTATCCGGATGGAATTGTACAGAGTGCTACAGAAGATATAAAGAATTTGCGAAGGAGAATGAATTCTTTGCATGTAGTTCAAATGTATTTGGTGGCAAGATGAGAGAATTTGTGAAGAGAAGTAGAAAGCGAGACGGTTCTGCAAGAAGTTATATTTACGAAGCAAGTATGATATTAGAAGGTCGTGGAAAGAAAGAAACAGTGAATTATGAGGAAGTGCTTGAAAAATTCATGGAGTACATGGGAAGCAATATAACATACAACAAAGACATATACAGTGAGTTTAAGTACTACTGTGAACAGCATGAGATTGAAAAGATGAAGAAGTAAAGGAGACTTTGAAACGCTTATGAAAGACAGTAAGGAGGTCGTCATGAGAACAGTGTTGAAATAGTTCATGAGAACAGTGAGGAGGTCATACATGAATGCAATGATGAAATAGTTCACGATGTAGTTCGTGAAGAAGCCATTGCAACAAAGAATGTTATAAAGGATTTCATAGAACTTAACAAGGAGGAGTTTAAAGAAGGCTATGAAGTGAAAAGATATGAAGAAGATTTCTTGGCGTATTTGAAGAAAAAGAGACTAAAGCCAATGGCTCAAAATAAGTTTCAATCGATGTTTGAAAAGAAACGTTTGAGCTATGGTGGTGTAAGAAGCACATATTACTTTGTTAAGAAGTGAGGACATTTATTTTTGTCGTTAGTGTTGGAGTTTGTGTTTGTTGTTAGTGTTTGTCATTTGTGCTGAAGTTAGTACTTGTCGTTAGTGTTGGAGTTCGTGTTTGTTGTTAGTGTTTGTCATTTGTGCTGAAGTTAGTACTTGATGTTAGTGTTGGAGTTTGTGTTTGTTGTTAGTGAGAGAATAAATTAAATCATGAACTTTGCCATGGTCTCTGTCCCTAGTAGTTTTCATTAAGTTCTGGAAATAATGAAAGTCATAAACTTTGCCATGGTCTCTGTCCCTAGTAGTTTTCATTATCTCACAGAGTTAATGAAAGTCATACTTTCTATCAGATGAAGCATGCAGATGAACATAACGAAAGTTAGTGAGTTTGCCACGAGTTATGAATAAAATATTGGCATATTAGATGAGATAGCTGATGAAACAGATGAAGATAAATTAAATCTTGGACTTTGCCACACTCTGTCCCTAGTTCCTCAAAATCCTTGACAACGTTGCTTAGAAATTTTGGTTCAAAACCTCATCTGATTTTAATCTGTTATGCTACCTGTTAAGTTTCGCGAGATTATAAATGTCATGGAGTTATATAAAAAGGAGGGACAGCTAGGGACACTGGAAGTACTTGTAAGGCTATCTGTTAAGATTGCATGAAATACTAAAAAGTCATGAAATCCATTATCGCTGTGCTAGCTTCACCTTAGAGTAAAATGACGACTAAAGTCACTGAAGCAATGAAACAAAAGTTTTTGGTAGAATACATTAAATCAGGAGCGGTTCCAGAAGGTTTTTACGTTCATACTATGAAGGATGGTAGAGTTCAGTTTAGAAAGATAAAGCAACCATTAGATAGAGAAGGAATTTTGAGAAAGATTAAACTTCATGAGGACAACATTGCTAAACTTAGGAAGAAGTTAGAAGAGTTGGAGAAAGGAAGAGAGTTATAAAGCAATGAATTCAACAGGGTGAAAAAACAGGTGAAAAAAGAGGTGAGATTTCACCACTTCACCTAAACATTATTTTTGTGCTATGTTTTCATACGTGTGAGGGTGGTGATATCATTAATTTTTAAGTTTATTTTTTATTTTATTTTTATATAAATGACGAAAACTATTGAGATAACAAACTACAACGGTCATGAGTTCAAGAATTTGTTCTTCGTTCCTCGTGAAAATACATTCTATCAGATACGAGGGAGAAAGGGTAAATTTAGTTTGAGCGTTTACGACAACAAACATAATGGGAGATATATAAAAGCAATAGATACAAACGGTAAGCGTGTTTCATTAGCTTTGTCAAAACTTACATACATTTATTTTGACAGTGATTTTGACTCTGACGATTGGAGTGACAGCAGCGATACTGAAGAATATGAACTATTGTGTGAAGCACAGCAATGGGAAGCGCTGCAATACTTTTGTAAATGAGAACATTAGTGGGAACGTTAGTGAGAACGTTTATTTTTTCATTAGTGAAGTCGTTAGCGAAAATGTTAGTGAGGTGAAGTGGTTGGCGGCTTTGTAAATATTTAAGGTTAAGTTAGTGTTGTCGTTTGTGTTGTAAAATATACGTTAGCGGTTTTGTAAAGTGTCAAACCGTTATCTTGGATAAGGTGGAACGCAGTGCCGCCGTACCCAAGTTATGTATACTAACTAATTGCTCAAATTGCTCTCTTACAAAATTTTCAAGATCATCTGGACTCGCGAATTCGCGTCCTTCAGCTCTCTTTTTTAGCGTGCCGAATAAATAAAAGTCAGAGGGTGCAATATCAGGTGAATAAATTGGGTTTGGAACAACTTTGACATTGTTTTCCACCAAGTAATTCATTACCTTATGACTTTTGTGAACTCTTGAATTATCAAAATGAATTGCAAACTTTTGTTTTTGTTGTTTGGATTTCTCAAACTCATCAGAATTGATAATTTGAGTAAGAACATTGTCAATTAGATACTGAGCATTCATCATATTAGGTTTTTGAAGAATATCAATTGCGATGATGCCATTCACGCCCCAAAAAACCGACAACATCATCATTGGTGTGTCAATTTTTTTCTTCGGGAATGTTTGCGGATTTTCATCCTTCGGGATCCACATGATTTTGGCTTCTGTTGCATATTGAAACCAAGACTCGTCCCCTGTTACTAAAAAGCGAAACTTCTTGGATTGATACGCACCCAATATAGAGAGGAGCTCTTTCGAAGATTGGACTCTAGATTTTTTTTGAACTGAATTAAGGTTGTGCGGAACCCAACGTGTATACGCTAGTTTGCAGTGGGGCGGCGACAAATTTGACCAGCCAGTAAAGTATTCAATTGTTTTTTTTTTGCATTTTTTTTAAAGCTTCTTAACTTAAATCATGGAATGTCTCAAAGACAAAAGTAGCATACAGCATGTAAAGCTCAAGAAAGATAATCATAATTAATACCTTAATTTTTAATATTACGCATTTTTAGGTGCAAAATTTAAAAACATTCTAATACAATAGAGCAGTTTCCAAAAGTAGCATACAGCATGTAAAGCTCAAGAAAGATAATCATAATTAATACCTTAATTTTTAATATTACGCATTTTTAGGTGCAAAATTTAAAAACATTCTAATACAATAGAGCAGTTTCCAAAAGTAGCATACAGCATGTAAAGCTCAAGAAAGATAATCATAATTAATACCTTAATTTTTAATATTACGCATTTTTAGGTGCAAAATTTAAAAACATTCTAATACAATAGAGCAGTTTCCAAAAGTAGCATACAGCATGTAAAGCTCAAGAAAGATAATCATAATTAATACCTTAATTTTTAATATTACGCATTTTTAGGTGCAAAATTTAAAAACATTCTAATACAATAGAGCAGTTTCCAAAAGTAGCATACAGCATGTAAAGCTCAAGAAAGATAATCATAATTAATACCTTTAAAGTTTAAAATCTTGATTTTTTTTAAAATCAAATATTTATAACTTTAATACATACAGCTTAAACCTTATACTTGTTTTCTCTTGTGAGAAAGCAATCTTACAAAGCTAACAATCCTAAAAAATAAAGAATTAAAATTTAATAATTTAATCTAACAAAATTTCTCTCTTTATCCTTTTGCACTCTTTATATGCAACTCAAATCCATCATATAATATTCCTATAATACTCTTGCCTCAAACAATGACGAACAAACTGCTATTCTCATTTAATTACAGACCAAATCTATTCAAATTTCTGAATTTTTAATTTTCATTTCAATTTCAAATGGAATTAGAAGAAGAAACTATCTTTACTGTTATGGATCTTTGTAAATTTGGAGTTAAACAAGAAATACAAGCACAGTATGGATATGGTGAACGTGTCAGGAAAGAAAGATCTCAGATTTCATTCCACTGCAAATATCCAAAATGTCCTGCACATTTTAATGTTGCAATCTTGGATCAAAATAAATACAAACTAATCAAAATAGTTGAAGAACATGATCATTCCGCCCCAAATGACAAAAGTCAATATTCGTCTGTCTTTTATCGCAAATATTTAGAACATTACTTCCAAACAGATGACAATCAAAGAGCGATAGCACAGCTAAATGCATTCAAAGATCTTGAAATTCCTCTTACAGGTCCGTCCATTCCAGAGATGTACGCTCAAAAACCACGTGCAATCAAACGATTTGCAGAGAGAATACATGCTCTTCAAACTAGATATTCTCCTGACGATGTTGTGTCATTGCAAATCTTTGTTCAGACAGTACAAGAAGAATCTCCAGATGATCTCATTGCATTTGAAGTCTCAGACAATAATATGTGTTTCTATTACGCGCCTTTTGAAGGCAAAGCTTATGCGCATAGTATCAAGACATTTCATATAGACAGCACCTATAAATTGTTGCGATCAAACATTCCATTGTATGCATTTACTGGCAAAATCAAAGATTTTCACATTTTCCCTTTTTTATATTTCTTTTGTCAACCAGACACTTATCAAAACATTCAAGTTTGCGTGTGCGCCTATCTCAGATGGGTAACAATTGAGCCAGAATACATTAGCATGGACTGTGCTCCACAGATAGCTCAAGCAATAGAAGAAAGCATTCCACAAGCTCAAATACTTTGGTGCGGAGTACATGTTCTTCGTGCAATTCTTCGCAAATCAAATAAGTTTTCTTCTCAAGAAAAATTTGAACAATTCTATAATTTGATGAAGGATTTAGTCTTCAAATTAGATGCAGAACATGAGGAAGAAGCAAATGCTGCCTATGATCAAGTTCTGGAGTTGCTCGACACAGATCCAACAGCATCTCAATACTTTAACAGACAATGGCGTTACAACATATCAAGATGGATTGCTCGTGACAGGCGTGAAGGCGACGCAACTAACAATATTGCCGAAGCTCATTTTAGAACACTCAAACATGACTATTTTCCTGATCGAAAAAATCTCAGAATTGATGATGTTATTATAGAAATTTATACAAAAGTGATACCATCTTTCGTTATCAAACTCAAAATTGATCAAAATCCAGCAGATGACCGTGTCATTAGGATCATGGAAAAAGCAACTAACGCAGAAATTGATGTAAAAAGACAAAGAAAAATCGAGAGTATTTCAATGCTCAATAGATTGCTCAATGCTGTTAGTGATGACTCAATAGATCCCACTAAAATATATCCTACCTTGAAAGTATTATTACAAAGAACTCATTTTATTTAATTTTGATTTTAATTTTAGATTAAATTATTAAATTTTAATTCTTTATTTTTTAGGATTGTTAGCTTTGTAAGATTGCTTTCTCACAAGAGAAAACAAGTATAAGGTTTAAGCTGTATGTATTAAAGTTATAAATATTTGATTTTAAAAAAAATCAAGATTTTAAACTTTAAAGGTATTAATTATGATTATCTTTCTTGAGCTTTACATGCTGTATGCTACTTTTGGAAACTGCTCTATTGTATTAGAATGTTTTTAAATTTTGCACCTAAAAATGCGTAATATTAAAAATTAAGGTATTAATTATGATTATCTTTCTTGAGCTTTACATGCTGTATGCTACTTTTGGAAACTGCTCTATTGTATTAGAATGTTTTTAAATTTTGCACCTAAAAATGCGTAATATTAAAAATTAAGGTATTAATTATGATTATCTTTCTTGAGCTTTACATGCTGTATGCTACTTTTGGAAACTGCTCTATTGTATTAGAATGTTTTTAAATTTTGCACCTAAAAATGCGTAATATTAAAAATTAAGGTATTAATTATGATTATCTTTCTTGAGCTTTACATGCTGTATGCTACTTTTGGAAACTGCTCTATTGTATTAGAATGTTTTTAAATTTTGCACCTAAAAATGCGTAATATTAAAAATTAAGGTATTAATTATGATTATCTTTCTTGAGCTTTACATGCTGTATGCTACTTTTGGAAACTGCTCTATTGTATTAGAATGTTTTTAAATTTTGCACCTAAAAATGCGTAATATTAAAAATTAAGGTATTAATTATGATTATCTTTCTTGAGCTTTACATGCTGTATGCTACTTTTGGAAACTGCTCTATTGTATTAGAATGTTTTTAAATTTTGCACCTAAAAATGCGTAATATTAAAAATTAAGGTATTAATTATGATTATCTTTCTTGAGCTTTACATGCTGTATGCTACTTTTGGAAACTGCTCTATTGTATTAGAATGTTTTTAAATTTTGCACCTAAAAATGCGTAATATTAAAAATTAAGGTATTAATTATGATTATCTTTCTTGAGCTTTACATGCTGTATGCTACTTTTGGAAACTGCTCTATTGTATTAGAATGTTTTTAAATTTTGCACCTAAAAATGCGTAATATTAAAAATTAAGGTATTAATTATGATTATCTTTCTTGAGCTTTACATGCTGTATGCTACTTTTGTCTTTGAGACATTCCATGATTTAAGTTAAGAAGCTTTAAAAAAAAGCAAAAAAAATGTAATAAAATAAAAAAATTTTTAGTATCGATAATCTGAAATATGTTGTTTACTTAAACCGCGAGCTAAGCGAGGGGCTTAGTTTCGTAGTTTCGTACAATCTTTTTTCGAATCTGTTCTTTTCGTCAGCCGCGAGCGAAGCGAGTGGCTTAGTTTCGTAATTTCATACAATCTTTTTTCGAATCTGTTCTTTTCTTAAGCCGCGAGGGGCTTAGTTTCGTACAATCTTTTTTCGAATCTGTTCTTTTCTTAAGCCGCGAGCGAAGCGAGGGGCTTAGTTTCGTAATTTCGTACAATCTTTTTTCGAATCTGTTCTTTTCGTCAGCCGCGAGCGAAGCGAGTGGCTTAGTTTCGTAATTTCATACAATTATTTTTCGAATTTGTTCTTTTTGTCAACCGCGAGCGAAGCGAGTGGCTTTTTATTTTTAAAATTTTTTTTTCTTTCTTACTTTTTTTCCCTTACTTACAAATTTGATAGTAACTTACCAAATCTCTCTATCATATAATAATAAATTAATCCATTTTTTGTTTCAAATCTGACACATTACATTTCTGACATGTAAACATGTCACTTTTCACTTCACCTCACTGGGCAAGTTTGTGCCCCTCTCGTTTGTCGTTCAAATAATTGTGCAGATAATAACTGACTGTTGTACGTGGTATCTTTGTCATCTCCTCTATCCTTCTGAGTGATGCTCTTGGGTCTTCATCTAGCGCTTGAAGAATTGCTTTGATTTTTCTTTGATCCGGCGATTTTTTGTCAATTTTTATGATGGGCGCCTTTTTGTTCATGAAGTGATACATCCTAACATGATACGTTACAGTGGAATAGCTAGGAGCATCCATACCGAAGCATTTTACCAATGTCTCGTAGATTTTTTTACAGTCTTTGCATTTTTTTGCAAGAGCGAGGATGTTTTCTTTATGATTCATTAAAAAATGAAAAAAATCCCGCCAAAATTTCCCGCGAAACCGCCTCTTGTCTCAAAATTCATTTTATATCCCGGCATGGCGCCAAAATACAACATACTCATCATATACATATATTCATATTTTTTATTATATATTTATAATCAGCATATATCTCCTTTAATAGTCTCATATAGAGCGCTGTGCTAAACGCACCTTTGGACACCCTATATTAAATTCCAAGGAAACCCATTAAACCGGCTTGGAGAGGCAGGCTTTTCTCAATTTACGATTCAAACCATTTCCATCCCTGATAGTTTGATTAATCTAGGGGTATCTTGCTTTGAAAATTGCCAATTCTTGACTTCAATATCATTTTCGTACTCATGTCCATTAACAGTGATCCCTGAAAATTGTTTTAAAAATTGCAAAAACTTGCAAATTTTGAAATTCCCAAGTTCAATAACAACAATAAAAGTAAAGCATTCCTCAATTGCTATGGCATAAGCGATATTGGATTATGCGGAACACAAGTGTCAAATATTGAAAACTATTGTTTTATACATTCAGGAGTTACAACTTTCTATTCATCAAACAAAATTACTTTGTGATATGGTGCATTTACAAATAGTAATGTTATAGAAATGAATATCCTTGCCGAATCAATTTCAGTAGAATATTTTAAAAACTGCACCTTATTGACATCCTTAACTTTAAAAGAAGGAATAACAACTATTTATGAATCTGCTTTCAGAGATTGTGTTTGATTGGAATCATTTACGATTCCAGCAAGCATTAAATTGATTAGATTATATGCATTCATGGGCTGCACATCATTAAAAATAGTTATATTGTCGCCGAATAGCTAAATAAGGAAAATAAATGGAGGAACTTTTGCTGATTGTCCACTATTACAGTTTATCAAGTTGGATTCTAATGGCAGTCAATATATGTTCGGCAATGGAGCTTCAACATATTACAATGAAACCAAAATTATTGCATTTATTCCAAGTAGTAATATACAAACATTTGTTGTTCCTGCAGCAATGGAAAATAGGTTCTTATTCTTTCTATGTATGTACTAATTTAGTAAAAGTTATATTTATGAAAGATGACAATTATTTCTCTTCATTATGCAATAAATTATATATTGCTATTCTTCTTTCAATGCAGTGATGAATGATGGGCTTATTTAGATTAACTAATCTATGCAATATCTTATTTTCAATTTAAGCTATTAGCGGAATCATCGCCTTCTTTATTTTGCGACTCAAAACTCGAGTTAATTCATAGTGAAAAAGTTAAAAAAGACGATCAAAATTCACTCAATTTATATATCATTAAGTACCAAAACTCTGAGATTATATTGCATAAAGATTAAGATGTGCTGGGTAAACCCATTTTTTTTAAAAAATTAAATTTGGAGTCACCAGACATGCAATCCTTAGAACTTAAGTAGAAGCAGTCTTTATATCATTAAGTACCAACATTGACAGATGCTCGTTGAAATTATATTTGCATTGAATGAAATCAATGTTTTAACAATGAAAAAAGAAATTTCAATCTCAAATTTTGTGAAGCCGAAAAAAAGCTATTAAATAAATAAACAGTTTAAAACAATAAAATTACAATAATCCGCATCAATAATTCAGATCTTCAAGCATGAAATTACTTTTTTTTTAATAAAAATCTCTTGGTGAATTAATCTTAGAAGCTGGCATTGAATGACGTAGTTGGTTGCGCAGAGAAGAGAATTTTGTACTGATTGTTCTAGGATTGTGAGATAAAGTAAAATTGTGGTTTCTTGTCTGCAAAGGAGAAAAGTATGATATAATAGGTCTAATTTCATTAGCTTTAAAGGTATTTGCGTAGATATTTGGAGATAAAATTCCATTTGAATTTGCAAATTGTCTTTGATTTGGACGCTGGTTAGGCATATTGAAAGGTTCCCAATTTGATTTTGTTCTAACTTGCTCAAGAGCTTTTCTTTGTTGATTTTCTCGAATTTGTTCTTCCAAAAGTTGTCGTTGTCGCGCTTGTTGTTTGCCTCTTTCTAGCAACTCTTGTTGCCGTTCATATGGAAGGCGATCAAATATTTGATGAGTGAAATTTGATGCCATGACAATTTTATATAAAAGTGACATTAATTTTTAAAAATTTTAGGGGGTACTCTCATTTTTTTATTATTATTAGCAGATTAAACATATGCTGAAAAAACTCAATGTTACAGCTCCACCATTAGTTAAAGGTCTCGAAGAAGCAACATTTGATGGCTTAGTTAAGTATATTAAATCAGGTCATGCAACAAATACAGTTTTTCTAACTGGAGCAGGAACTTCTGTTGCATCAGGTATTCCTGATTTTAGAACACCCAAGATTGGTCTATATGCTAATCTGGATAAATACAAGCTACCATATCCAGAAGCAGTTTTCGATATAGAATTTTTCGATACAAACCCAGGTCCATTCTTTGATGTTTGCAGAAACATTCTTCCTGGAACATTCAAGCCATCTCCAGCACACTATCTTCCAGTTTTATTTGACAAACACAAATTATTAACACGACTTTACACGCAAAACATTGACAGTCTTGATATATCAGCAGGATTACCACTAGATAAGATAGTTGAGGCGCATGGAAGCTTTACATACCTTACATGTCGCAAATGCGGAAGTAAATTTGAATTTGCAGATTATAAAGAAGAATTCCAGACAGGAAAGGTTGTACACTGTCGTGAATGCAAAGAAGGCGTCATTAAGCCTGATGTTGTCTTCTATGGAGAAGATTTACCTCAAAGATTCCATCATTTAAGCGAAAATGACTTTTCTACAGCCAATCTTCTCATTATCATGGGAACATCATTAACTGTATCACCATGTTGCATGCTCCCAGGATATTGCCCACCAAACTGTGTCAGAGTTTTAATTAATAATGAACCAGCAGGAAAATGCCCAGAAGCAATCAAAGTTGACAAAAACGGTGTCGGTCATAACAAGTACGAAAAGGAAGAGCCACATTTACTTACATATAATTGCGAAACAAACACCAGAGATATATTCTTGAAAGGCGACCTTCAAGAAATCTGCGAAAAATTAATTAATGCATTGGGATGGAATAATGAATACTTGAAACTCAAGAAATAAAATATTTATATGTTTGAATATTACAAAATAATTTTTAAACTGTGTCAACTCTACTCAATTTCTTATATAAAGCCACCATCATCGTTTTTCTCCTTTAATTGAGCGAAATCCTTTCAAAAATTTTGATTTCAAGAATTTACGAAGGAAAAAGAGTTTAAAATAATAACTTTCGTAGTGGAATTACATCTATGAATGTTTAAGATTCAGATTGTGAGATGCAGCTATTCTTCTTTTTAGAAACAAAAATAATATTTTAAGGATATTCACATTGATACTACGGTAATTTCTCACTATATTCTCTCACTAGATTCTTTAAATTTACATATTAAATTATAAATTTAATATTTATAAAAAATAATCAACTTTTAACTTGCTTTTTAATTTCTGAAATATAATCGGAACATTTTGTAAGATTTTTTATTCTTTTATTGTTAAAATTGAAAAGATATTTTTGGAAAGGAAAAACTCTTTTTATAATTTGATATATAGAGAAACTGATAGGACGCTAAAATAATATTGAATTAGGAACTAACAACACTAAAAAGAAATATTTTTTTCAAATCCTGATTTTAATATTTTGGGAGAATGATAAGCGTCTTATAATGTACAATAGAAAGTTCATAAACTGAACGATGGAATTGACTAACAAAGTTCACCAATAAATAGAAATTTGAAATTTTTCAGAGTCTTATGAAAAATCTCAACAATTGAAAAGTTGAAATTTTTGAGTCATGAATGAAAACAATTCAATTTTGGAAATCACTTAAATATCAATGTCCCACCTTTTATTTATGGTAATGATTAATAATATTGTAAGTTTGTCAATTGAATACTATAAGATAATAAAATAGATTTTATTATTTGTGTTAATAGTCTCAATTATTGAACATATATCTTATTACTCACTTAGTTAATATCTTATTGTAGATGGCCATATCATAGAAAATATCCTAGTCAAAATTTTATTCGGGCAGGGATGTGTATATAATAAGGTCAGCTGCTATTTATGAAACAACATTTTTCGATGTTATCCATTTTCTTATCTCTGAATTAATTAATGTTAAATGCGCTGTTTTCCTCTTCAATTTTTCTTAGTTATTAAGATATAATATGAGACACCGTTTTTGGTCACTTTGGACCGAGATATAAATATACATTGGTATTTTCTGAATAATCAATTCTAAAAATGTTGATTTACTTGTGAAACCATACTTCAAATGACTTAATTTATACCTTGTAGTTATCTTATATTACTTGAAAACTGAAGGAGGATTAACAGTTCTGCCTTATAGCACACATTAGTGCTAGTTAGGTCAGCTACTTCTAGGCTGAATATGCATATGTTGCTTTTTAGTGGACCATTCTCATACCTTTAAGACTTAGCAGATGATACTAGGAAGATACATATTAGTGGAGTGTAATATTGATAACTCCTCGGACATTTCAAATTTTGTTTGTTAAATATCTTCCACTAGGTGTTATTTATTCTAATAAGCATATTAAACTGTGGAATATTTGCTAATAGGTGAGACATAGATGGATTATTCCCGTAAGGGAAAAATTACTTACTTCCTGCGCCTCAACTATCTGATATACTAGTGTGTATATCCTGCTGATTACCTGCTTCATGTGTTTTCGAGTGTCTTGATAATGATTAAATGCTTGTTGAAGTAGTGATCCCTGATAGGTTTCAGACTAATATTGAATAAGTAATATATGAAATTTGTGGTTTATTATTATTTTTAGTGAATTAGAAGTAATTTAAGTGAAATCTAGTTTTATTTATGGAAACAAAAAATCATGTCAATCATGGTAAATTTGAAAAGATATATCTAAATTTGGGTTCGCACTTATATTTCATTATTATTTTTTTCAAATTGAAATTTAATTCATTGTTTTTTCTTATAATTATGGTACATAAAATGAGTTGTTTTAACTAAGTCAATCGGAAACTTTTTCATTTTCGTTTTATTTTTTCTTGATAGCTCAAATTTTGCATGAATAAAGGATATTTATGAATTGGTCTTTCCTCATATCATATCTAATGAGTACTTTTCTTATCGTCATATACATCTGTTTTATAAAAAAAATGAAGAAACCACCGCGGCTTTTTATTTTAACTGCAGCCAATGTAAACAATGCGTCCTGTTTTTCATCCGACTAATTCCTGAGACTTTATGATTCCGTAAAACTTTAAATTTCAAACTTGGAAATCCTTTCAACAATTTACATTTTTTATCGTTTTGCATTGTATATAATTGATATTCAGGAAATTTAAACCATTAACGCAATGACACACATATATATTTTATATCTTCAAGTGTAATATATAGTCTATTCATTATATAATTATTTAAATAGTGTTTGATGTTAGAATTCTATGAAAAATCTCATTCAAAAGTAAAGATTAGGCTCAAAAGCTCTCGAAGATTCGCCTGATCAATAAAGTAGCATGATAGGATCATGAATGTCAAAGTTAGAACTAACTTGGATCTTTTGAGAACGTTTCGAAAAACTTAAAATTTGTTATTAAGCAATTAAGGAATTGATATATAGGATTGTGTCGATTATTTATCTTACTAGTTTGTGTTTTTTTATGAGACAAGTAATAAGTGAGTTTTATTTTTATTGTGATATTTTAATAATACTCGACATCATAGTATTTTTATTATTTAGTTAATTTCCCACAACTCACTGAGCATTTGTTGTTCTCACCTACTTCACAAGAAGAAACACATAAAACTAAAAAAATTGTGAAATTTGTGTGATTTTCTTAATATATTTTGTCACTACATTGGTTAAAAACATTGGATTTCATTCATAGTAGATTCACATACATGTAATTTAACCTAAATCAATAACGTACTATTCTTATTTGAGTATAGATGGGTATATCGATATTATATTGAATTAGTTAAATCGTATCTAATGCTATAATACAACTTAAGTTCTAACGCGATTGAAGTAATGTCTGGTGACGGAATTCCAAATGTAATTAACTTGATTTCATTTTATGGAGAGAAAACAGACGACATATTATTATATTGAGTGTGTTAGTTACCACACGAGATCAAATTATATCGTATGATTTAATTAGACTATTTACCATATAAGGTTTACTATTCATTGGGTGAAATTTTGGAAGTCTTTTAATTCTGAAAAATATATTAAAAAAATCGTTAAAAAGTGATAATTAAAAAATCTGATATACGTGATTTCTATTTCATTTGAATACTACTTGGACAAACTCTATGAAACATCACGCATTCAAGGGCAAATAAACTTTTGAGACCTTCAACGTCATCTATGATAATTTATTATACTAAGTATTTACCCATAACTTATAGGCTGTAGAGTGGAAGGTATTTTCTCGTGGCTAATTAAGCGTATAATTGAGTGAGAAGCACTCACATTCAGATATGATGTGTGAACTTCTGTTTTCACTGCAATTTGAATCAGAATAAACTCAAAACAAGAATAAAATGATATACTCACTCTCTAAATGTGTTCGAGATTTAAAGTTGTATGAATAAAACGATTCATCTTTCGAAGCCTCCCATTTAATGAGAGACTTCGAAAGATGAATGTATTCATGTAGATGAAATACTATATATGACCTTGTGTGATACTAAAGATATCAAAATGTTCATTTTTAAGTGCAATAGAAGGGTTATCTCTCGTAAAATCTCAATTTAAGGAAGATTTAGAAAGAACTCCTTTCCTAAGTAGATAGTGTGTGGTTTCTGTCTTTTGGTTGATCAGGACTATGAAATTAAGTCGGACAGAAAGAAGTTCTTTCCAAAACAGACTCCAAATGAGTTGTTCGAAAAGAACTTCCTTCTGTATATGGATAATTGTAGTTACCGCACTGAAGTATGTGATTGTGATGATGGAGTTCTCGATAAATCTAAAATCGGATTAAGATTAATTGAAAACTCAAGTAATTCTTTGAAATCTTGTGTTGTCTGGCACTATAATAACCAAAGAATGAGAATATTATGTTGAATGATGAGTACGTGTGCTCGGCATTCGCCGAGCGAATTGAGTTTAACGTACTATGAAAAGTGACAAATTTGGACTTTTTTTCCTAGGGTTATGATCTCTTCCTTTCTGCTCAATACGACAGAAATGAAAGAATGAATTTGTACTCCCTAATTGATTACTACAATCTGTATCTATCTTTAACATAGAATTAGCTGCATTGTGATTTATACTCCAGAATTATTCAATTTAAGATCAACCTCGTAAATTTTAATCATATTGCACCAATACTCCTACGTTGAGATAAGAACATGATTATACATACCAAAGCCCCATATTAAAAATCAAAATTTAGCACCTCCATTATGCAACCACATTATTCGTCGCAAATAAGTATATTTACGCATATTATGATGCATATTCACACAACTCGTATACATGAAAAGTTATTAAAATCAGACAAAATTATTGCAATAAGGAAAAAAAAACTTTATTATATATGTTAGTAATGAATTACAAATATTTCTACAAAGAATGCTCAATACTTCATATAATCTTCGAATATTTCTTATTACAAGTTAATACATTTTGACTCGAACATGATAAACAAAAGCCGACACGCTGATTACTACATTTATGAAAATATAGTACGTTTCCATTCATCTGTTTACTTGTTTTTGTTGGAATAAAATCATTTTTTTTTTCTTTCATGAAATAAGAATTTTGCTGCGAAAGCAAAAAAAAAAAAAAAAAAAGGTAGTGGGGCTTCCAGGGGCTGCGCCCCTTCTAGCCCCTAAGAAATTTTGCCCAAGACCCAAGAGGAGGACCGAACCCCAGCCGACCAGCCGTTGACTTTTTTGTAGAGCACTCAAAATAGTATAACTTTGTCCGGACAAGTAAGGGTCTATCGTCGCTACAGGAAAAGTTACAGGCGTTCCAAGGAAGTATACTTTGAGAAGCCTTTTCCCCCTTATAGAATGAGATAGGACGGTTATTTTACAAAACTGACAACACTTTGA